GCAAACACACACACACACACACACACACACACACACACACACACACACACACACACACACGTCTCTTGCATCAATATATGTTATTTGTTCTTTCTCCAATGTGTGTGTGTGTGTGTCTGTGTGTGTGCAGATGGAGTGTGATGAGAAGGAGATGCGTCGTGAGATCAGCTACGCCATCAAGAACATCCACGGCATCAGGTGTGTGTGTGTGTGTGTGTGTGTGTGTGTGTGTGTGTATTTATATAGCGCATTTATTGTGTATGGCCGTACACCCAAAGCGCTTCACAATCATGAGGGGCGGGTCTCTCCACACCACCACCGGTGTGCAGCTCCACTTGGATGATGCGACGGCAGCCACAGGACAACAGCGCCAGTGCTTCACCACACACCAGCTATTGGTGGAGAGGAGGGACAGTGTCGGAGCCAATTCAGTGGATGGGGATGATTGGGAGGCCATGATCGTATGGGCCGATAGAGGGAGTTTGGCCAGGACACCGGGGTTACACCCCTGCTCTTTCACGAGAAGTGCCATGGGGTTATTAATGAGCACAGAGAGTCAGCAGCTCGGTTTAACGTCTCATCCGAAAGACGGCGCCCACTGACAGTGTAGTGTCCCCTTCACTATACTGGGGCATTAGGACTCACACAGACCACAGGTTGAGCGCCCCCTGCTGGCCTCACTAACACCACTGCCAACAGCAACCTGTTCATCAACACTGCTGAAATACACACGCTTCTTTTCTGTGTGTGACGGTGCGTGTGTGTGACGGTGCGTGTGTGTGTGTGTGTGTGTGTGCAGGACGGGCTTGTTCACTCCTGATATGGCGTTCGAGGCGATCGTGAAGAAGCAGGTGGTGAAGATCAAGGAGCCGTGCATCAAGTGTATTGATCTGGTGGTGCAGGAGCTGATCAATACAGTCCGCCAGTGCTCCAATAAGGTGATCAGCGTCGCCACGACAACACCAGCGTCACAACACACACACACACACACACACACACACACACACACACACACTGCAGTGTTCACTGCTTATAAAGCACAGTGTTTGTGTGTGTGTGTGTGTGTACATGATAGCTTTTATTGTGATGTGTATGTGTGTGTGTGTGTGTGTGTCAGTGAATATTATGGTCTGTTGTTGTGCACAGCTGGACTCGTTCCCACGGTTACAGGAAGAGACGGAGCGCATCGTCACCACACACATCCGAGACCGTGAGAGCCAAGCCAAAGAGCAGGTACACACACACACACCTGAGTCTGAGGAAGTGATTGTGTGTGTGAGTGTGTGTCTATGAGAGGATCTAAAAGTGTGTGTGTGCGCCTGTGAGAGTGTGTGTTGGCTGATCATCAGATTACGGCTCTGTAATGAGATTACGGCTGTGTGTGTGTGTGTGTGTGTGTGTGTGTGTGTGTGTGTGTGTGTGTGTGTGTGTGTGTGTGTGTGTGTGTGTGTGTGTGCACGCAGGTCCTGCTGCTCATCGATATCCAGCTGGCCTACATCAACACTAACCACGAGGACTTCATCGGCTTTGCCAAGTGAGTTC